TGCAGAACTCTTGTCCCATGCTTGTCCCAGGGACTGTCTCTGTCCCCAGTGCAGAACTCTTGTCCCATGCTTGTCCCAGGGACTGTCTCTGCCCCCAGTGCAGAACTCTTGTCCCATGCTTGTCCCAGGGACCGTCTCTGCCCCCAGTGCAGAACGCTGGTCACCATGCTTGTCCCAGGGACTGTCTCTGCCCCCAGTGCAGAACTCTTGTCCCATGCTTGTCCCAGGGACTGTCCCTGCCCCCAGTGCTGAACTCTTGTCCCATGCTTGTCCCAGGGACCGTCTCTGCCCCCAGTGCAGAACGCTGGTTCCCATGCTTGTCCCAGGGACTGTCTCTGCCCCCAGTGCAGAATGCTGGTCCCCATGCTTGTCCCAGGGACCGTCTCTGCCCCCAGTGCAGAACTCTTGTCCCATGCTTGTCCCAGGGACCGTCTCTGCCCCCAGTGCAGAACGCTGGTTCCCATGCTTGTCCCAGGGACTGTCTCTGCCCCCAGTGCAGAATGCTGGTCCCCATGCTTGTCCCAGGGACTGTCTCTGCCCCCAGTGCAGAATTCTTGTCCCATGCTTGTCCCAGGGACCGTCCCTGCCCCCAGTGCAGAACTCTTGTCCCATGCTTGTCCCAGGGACTGTCTCTGCCCCCAGTGCAGAATGCTGGTCCCCATGCTTGTCCCAGGGACCGTCTCTGCCCCCAGTGCAGAACGCTGGTCCCCACGCTTGTCCCAGGGACCGTCTCTGCCCCCAGTGCAGAACGCTGGTCCCCATGCTTGTCCCAGGGACCGTCTCTGCCCCCAGTGCAGAATGCTGGTCCCCATGCTTGTCCCAGGGACTGTCCCTGCCCCCAGTGCAGTACTCTTGTCCCCATGCTTGTCCCAGGGACCGTCCCTGCCCCCAGTGCAGAACTCTTGTCCCATGCTTGTCCCAGGGACTGTCTCTGTCCCCAGTGCAGAACTCTTGTCCCATGCTTGTCCCAGGGACTGTCTCTGCCCCCAGTGCAGAACTCTTGTCCCATGCTTGTCCCAGGGACCGTCTCTGCCCCCAGTGCAGAACGCTGGTCACCATGCTTGTCCCAGGGACTGTCTCTGCCCCCAGTGCAGAACTCTTGTCCCATGCTTGTCCCAGGGACCGTCCCTGCCCCCAGTGCTGAACTCTTGTCCCATGCTTGTCCCAGGGACCGTCTCTGCCCCCAGTGCAGAACGCTGGTTCCCATGCTTGTCCCAGGGACTGTCTCTGCCCCCAGTGCAGAATGCTGGTCCCCATGCTTGTCCCAGGGACCGTCTCTGCCCCCAGTGCAGAACTCTTGTCCCATGCTTGTCCCAGGGACCGTCTCTGCCCCCAGTGCAGAACGCTGGTTCCCATGCTTGTCCCAGGGACTGTCTCTGCCCCCAGTGCAGAATGCTGGTCCCCATGCTTGTCCCAGGGACCGTCTCTGCCCCCAGTGCAGAATTCTTGTCCCATGCTTGTCCCAGGGACCGTCCCTGCCCCCAGTGCAGAACTCTTGTCCCATGCTTGTCCCAGGGACCGTCTCTGCCCCCAGTGCAGAACTCTTGTCCCATGCTTGTCCCAGGGACCGTCTCTGCCCCCAGTGCGGAACGCTGGTCCCCATGCTTGTCCCAGGGACCGTCCCTGTCCCCAGTGCAGAACTCTTGTCCCATGCTTGTCCCAGGGACCGTCCCTGCCCCCAGTGCAGAACGCTGGTCCCCATGCTTGTCCCAGGGACCGTCCCTGACCCCAGTGCAGAACTCTTGTCCCATGCTTGTCCCAGGGACCGTCTCTGCCCCCAGTGCAGAACGCTGGTCCCCATGCTTGTCCCAGGGACCGTCTCTGCCCCCAGTGCAGAACACTGGTCCCCATGCTTGTCCCAGGGACCGTCCCTGCCCCCAGTGCAGAACTCTTGTCCCATGCTTGTCCCAGGGACCGTCTCTGCCCCCAGTGCAGAACTCTTGTCCCATGCTTGTCCCAGGGCCCGTCCCTGCCCCCAGTGCAGAACTCTTGTCCCATGCTTGTCCCAGGGACCGTCTCTGCCCCCAGTGCAGAACGCTGGTTCCCATGCTTGTCCCAGGGACTGTCTCTGCCCCCAGTGCAGAATGCTGGTCCCCATGCTTGTCCCAGGGACCGTCTCTGCCCCCAGTGCAGAACTCTTGTCCCATGCTTGTCCCAGGGACCGTCTCTGCCCCCAGTGCAGGACTCTTGTCCCATGCTTGTCCCAGGGACTGTCTCTGCCCCCAGTGCAGAACTCTTGTCCCATGCTTGTCCCAGGGACTGTCTCTGCCCCCAGTGCAGAACTCTTGTCCCATGCTTGTCCCAGGGACCGTCCCTGCCCCCAGTGCAGAACTCTTGTCCCATGCTTGTCCCAGGGACCGTCTCTGCCCCCAGTGCAGAACGCTGGTTCCCATGCTTGTCCCAGGGACTGTCTCTGCCCCCAGTGCAGAATGCTGGTCCCCATGCTTGTCCCAGGGACTGTCTCTGCCCCCAGTGCAGAACTCTTGTCCCATGCTTGTCCCAGGGACCGTCCCTGCCCCCAGTGCAGAACTCTTGTCCCATGCTTGTCCCAGGGACCGTCTCTGCCCCCAGTGCAGAACTCTTGTCCCATGCTTGTCCCAGGGACCGTCTCTGCCCCCAGTGCAGAACGCTGGTCCCCATGCTTGTCCCAGGGACCGTCCCTGCCCCCAGTGCAGAACTCTTGTCCCATGCTTGTCCCAGGGACTGTCTCTGCCCCCAGTGCAGAACGCTGGTCCCCATGCTTGTCCCAGGGACCGTCCCTGCCCCCAGTGCAGAACTCTTGTCCCATGCTTGTCCCAGGGACCGTCTCTGCCCCCAGTGCAGAACGCTGGTCCCCATGCTTGTCCCAGGGACCGTCTCTGCCCCCAGTGCAGAACACTGGTCCCCATGCTTGTCCCAGGGACCGTCCCTGCCCCCAGTGCAGAACGCTGGTCCCCATGCTTGTCCCAGGGACCGTCTCTGCCCCCAGTGCAGAACCCTGGTCCCCATGCTTGTCCCAGGGTCTGTCTCTGCCCACAGTGAAGAACTCTTGTCCCATGCTTGTCCCAGGGACCGTCTCTGCCCCCAGTGCAGAACTCTTGTCCCATGCTTGTCCCAGGGACCGTCCCTGTCCCCAGTGCAGAACTCTTGTCCCATGCCTGTCCCAGGGACCGTCTCTGCCCGCAGTGCAGAACTCTTGTCCCATGCTTGTCCCAGGGACCGTCCCTGTCCCCAGTGCAGAACGCTGGTCCCCATGCTTGTCCCAGGGACCGTCTCTGCCCCCAGTGCAGAACGCTGGTCCCCATGCTTGTTCCAGGGACTGTCCCTGCCCCCAGTGCAGCACTCTTGTCCCATGCTTGTCTCAGGGACCGTCTCTGCCCCCAGTGCAGAAGGCTGGTCCCCATGCTTGTTCCAGGGACTGTCCCTGCCCCCAGTGCAGCACTCTTGTCCCATGCTTGTCCCAGGGACCGTCTCTATCCCCAGTGCAGAACGCTGGTCCCCATGCTTGTCCCAGGGACCGTCCCTGCCCCCAGTGCAGAACTCTTGTCCCATGCTTGTCCCAGGGACTGTCTCTGCCCCCAGTGCAGAACGCTGGTCCCCATGCTTTTCCCAGGGACCGTCCCTGCCCCCAGTGCAGAACTCTTGTCCCATGCTTGTCCCAGGGACCGTCTCTGCCCCCAGTGCAGAATGCTGGTTCCCATGCTTGTCCCAGGGACCGTCCCTGCCCCCAGTGCAGAATGCTGGTCCCCATGCTTGTCCCAGCGACTGTCTCTGCCCCCAGTGCAGAACTCTTGTCCCATGCTTGTCCCAGGGACCGTCTCTGCCCCCAGTGCAGAA